AAGGGCTTTTGTACCAGTTCTTTCTTTCAACACACCGGCTGTATCCCACCGAGGCGGGGTGGCCCAAAAGGAAAAACGAAAGTTTCTCCTTTTACATTTAGTAATATATACAAGAGAAGGGGTTACTAGCCCCTTGCTCCTGTTGTGTACCAGTTATCAGTATATAATGTATACCCCTTACCAAGATAAGGTGCCATCATGTTTCTGTCACCTGAGTTACCCAATAACATCCTGGTATCTTTTAATGTTTTACTTCCTGTGTATACAATAATATCCAATACCAGGCCACTGTCACAGTCACAGAGTACAAACAGTTTTATACCAAAGCGTTTCCTCTTGTTCGGTATATACTGCTTGAATGACATTCTACCTTTGAACAAAATCAGAGACTCGTCAATTACAAGATTCTTGAATGGATAAAAGTACATGTTGAACTTTTGTTTCAGATACATAAAAACATTTCTAATCTTGTATAACCTGTCATTTCTGTCAGGCCTGGTTTTATCAAAGAAGTGCAACATACGTAACAGTAAGATAAACCTGTTCACTGGGATGATTTCACTGAAGGCCGGGGTACAAATTAGCCAATCTGTGGACCAGTATGATTTTATATTATGCTTATAGACAGGCATAAGCATTATTATTGCAAAAAGCAAATACATTTCAGCCACAGTTGTCTCTTTCCACCGGTGTAGTTTTGACTGTGGTATATGATCATATTTGCCATGGTGTACTCAAAATACTTGTTACTTTCCCTGACAATAGTTTCCATCAAGGGCTGGTCAAAGAATAGTTCAAAGAATTCCAGTTCATTTGCAGTGTTTCCAAGGGAACAACCTGGTAGGATTCCACTTTGAGAGTCATCAAAGTGGTGGGGATTGGGAACAAAATTGGGATTTTGCTGCCAATCCCAGATGCGGTTTGCTGGTGGATACTGGACATCATAAGCTGGTTGTGGTTGTAGTTGTGGTGTGGTAGTGGCTGACGCTCCGCTTTGTCCTTGAGCTGAGGAATCAGCAGCGTGGGTTCCAGCCTGGGCTGGTGAGTCATGCATGGCCGTGGCACTACCATCACCACTATCACCACCATTACCACCACCTACTGATGCCTGTGGTCTATCCATGCCAAGTGTAGCCACATCATCCTCACTTTCACTGTCTATTCCTGGTGTAGGGCCATGGGATGTACTCTGGGATGTACTCCATCCCCTGGGCACTGCATAGGGAACACTACCTGAGCGCATGTGTCGGCGTATATACTGATGCTTCACTGGTGAATATGATTCATCACTATCACTACTCAAATGATCATCAAGAGCAATAAAATCACAGTCCACATCACTATCATCATCATTACTGAAGTCTGAGGCCTGGCTACACGAAAATGTTAGTTTTCTCATGCGACGAGGTACAACTGAATGTGACGTGCCCACACCAGAGGTAGAAGGGTGAGGATCATCAGGATTTTCTGCACTATTTTTGATATCGTGGTCATTGCTTTCAGGCACTAATCGATCAAAGCCATAGAATTATTCTTCTTTTCCACTTCCATCAGAGTCAGAACTATCAGTTAGGAAGAGGAGAGTCCCAATTCACCTCGGAGAGAGAGCTGCCTTGCGGCGAGGCATGGTGAACAAAAGTTACTGAGGCGGCATTCCCACAATTTTTATTATTATTATCACACTGGCCGATTCCCACCAAGGCAGGGTGGCCCGAAAAAGAAAAACTTTCACCATCATTCACTCCATCACTGTCTTGCCAGAAGGGTGCTTTACACTATAGGTTTTAAACTGCAACATTAACACCCCTCCTTCAGAGTGCAGGCACTGTACTTCCCATCTCCAGGACTCAAGTCCGGCCTGCCGGTTTCCCTGAACCCCTTCATAAATGTTACTTTGCTCACACTCCAACAGCATGTCAAGTATTAAAAACCATTTGTCTCCATTCACTCCTATCAAACACGCTCACGCATGCCTGCTGGAAGTCCAAGCCCCTCGCACACAAAACCTCCTTTACCCCCTCCCTCCAACCTTTCCTAGGCCGACCCCTACCCCGCCTTCCTTCCACTACAGACTGATACACTCTTGAAGTCACTCTGTTTCGCTCCATTCTCTCTACATGTCCGAACCACCTCAACAACCCTTCCTCAGCCCTCTGGACAAGAGTTTTGGTAATCCCGCACCTCCTCCTAACTTCCAAACTATGAATTCTCTGCATTATATTCACACCACACATTGCCCTCAGACATGACATCTCCACTCCCTCCAGCCTTCTCCTCGCTGCAACATTCATCACCCATGCTTCACACCCATATAAGAGTGTTGGTAAAACTATACTCTCATACATTCCCCTCTGCCTCCAAGGACAAAGTTCTTTGTCTCCACAGACTCCTAAGTGCACCACTCACCCTTTTCCCCTCATCAATTCTATGATTCACCTCATCTTTCATAGACCCATCCGCTGACACGTCCACTCCCAAATATCTGAATACATTCACCTCCTCCATACTCTCTCCCTCCAATCTGATATCCAATCTTTCATCACCTAATCTTTTTGTTATCCTCATAACCTTACTCCTTCCTGCATTCACTTTTAATTTTCTTCTTTTGCACACCCTACCAAATTCATCCACCAGTCTCTGCAACTTCTCTTCAGAAACTTCCAAGAGCACAGTGTCATCTGCAAAGAGCAACTGTGACAACTCCCACTTTAACTCCACACCTTTTGCCAAGACCCTCGCATTTACTTCTCTTACAACCCCATCTATAAATATATTAAACAACCATGGTGACATCACACATCCTTGTCTAAGGCCTACTTTTACTGGGAAATAATTTCCACTCTTCCCTACATACTCTAACTTGAGCCTCACTATCCTCGTAAAAACTCTGCAACATCTGCCACATTGCCCCCCTATCCACCCTGTCATATGCCTTTTCCAAATCCATAAATGCCACAAAGACCTCTTTAGCCTTATCTAAATAATGTTCACTTATATGTTTCACTGTAAACACCTGGTCCACACACCCCCTACCTTTCCTAAAGCCTCCTTGTTCATCTGCTATCCTATTCTCCGTGTTACTCTTAATTCTTTCAATAATAACTCTACCATACACTTACCAGGTATACTCAACAGACTTATCCCCCTATAATTTTTGCACACTCTTTTGTCCCTTTTGCCTTTATACAAAGGAATTATGCATGCTCTCTGCCAATCCCTAGGTACCTTACCCTCTTCCATACATTTATTAAATAATTGCACCAACCACTCCAAAACTATATCCCCACCTGCTTTTAACATTTCTATCTTTATCCCATCAATCCCAGCTGCCTTACCCCCTTTCATTTTACCTACTGCCTCACGAACTTCCCCCACACTCACAACTGGCTCTTCCTCACTCCTACAAGATGTTATTCCTCCTTGCCCTATACACGAAATCACAGCTTCCCTATCTTCATCAACATTTAACAATTCCTCAAAATATTCCCTCCATCTTCCCAATACCTCTAACTCTCCATTTAATAACTCTCCTCTCCTATTTTTAACTGACAAATCCATTTGTTCTCTAGGCTTCCTTAACTTGTTAATCTCACTCCAAAACTTTTTCTTATTTTCAACAAAATTTGTTGATAACACCTCACCCACTCTCCCATTTGCTCTCTTTTTACATTGCTTCACCACTCTCTTAACCTCTCTCTTTCTCCATATACTCTTCCCTCCTTGCATCACTTCTACTTTGTAAAAACTTCTCATATGCTAACTTTTTCTCCCTTACTACTCTCTTTACATCATCATTCCACCAATCGCTCCTCTTCCCTCCCACACCCACTTTCCTGTAACCACAAACTTCTGCTGAACACTCTAACACTATATTTTTAAACCTACCCCATACCTCTTCGACCTCATTGCCTATGCTCTCATTAGCCCATCTATCCTCCAATAGCTGTTTATATCTTACCCTAACTGCCTCCTCTTTTAGTTTATAAACCTTCACCTCTCTCTTCCCTGATGCTTCTATTCTCCTGTGATATTTATGCTATCATAGACATTTTCAATAATCCATCTATGATTTGTTTTGGAAAATTATATGAACATGCTACATATCATGTAAGAGACAGTCGGATGGACATATATTAAACCGCCAGTTGGACATGTATTAGACCATTTAGACGATCCACTGGGAATATCTGGGTGTGTTGCTGTGAGCCTGAATGTGCTGCTGTTATGCAGGCTACTGCATTAATGTGAAGATAACGTGTTTAGTCTCACTAGTGTCACTAGTTACTCCAAGTTGGATGTCTAATACATGTCCAACTTGCCATTTAATACATGTCTATCTGACCATCTATTATGTGTCCACTCAAAACACTGACATTACATATACATTTATGGATCATTATCCCCACAATACACCTTACAATATATACAAATTATCTTCACATTAACACAGTAGCTTGCATAACAGTTGCCATGAGCCAGGGTGTGTTGTCAGTGATTCACCCTGTTTACAGAATTTGTATGCATACTCCCTCTGTATTCTGGAAATTTTCCAAAGTTTCAAATTCACCACTATGTATGAGCTAAGGACAAAAATATTTTAAGTCAAGTATTGTGTGTACTGTACATTCATTTTATTTTCATATCACATTTTAGTCCTAGTTCTATTGCACATTTAATATATGATAGCGTAAACATGAAGGAGGGGTGTTAACGTTGCAGTTTAAAAACTGTAGTATAAAGCACCTTTCTGGCAAGACAGTGATGGAGTGAATGATGGTGAAAGTTTTTCTTTTTCGGGCCACCCTGCCTTGGTGGGAATCGGCCAGTGTGTTAATAAAAAAAATAAAAATAAAGTAAACATGTCGTGCCTTTATATGTATTTAAAAGTGAAAATAAGTGATTATGGCAATTTTCACTTTACAGCGGTAACCTGAAACCTAACCTGCTCTATAATGAGGGCCCTCTTGTACCATAGTGTACCTTTCAATATTTTCTTGCAGAGAGGAGCGCAAGTGGAGGAAGTGGGTGGATGACGTCTTCGTGCATGTTCTCTCGCCAAATATTTATCGAACTCCAGAGGAATCATTTCAGGCATTTAAGTGGTTTTCTAAGGTGAGTGAATGTAAGATTATACTGCACTATGTGAGAAACACATTTATATAATTTAGAACAAGTTCCAAATGTTGTGATTGATAAGCTACTTGTGGAACTAAACTTGCAATAACTACTGAACTGTTTTTGCCCTGTATTAGTCTTATGACTCAACAAAAACTAAAAGAAAAGTAAATGTAATGCAATGCTTTCTTCAGAAGTCATACAGGTATGTCTTAATAAAGCTCTAATATGTACATGTATGTCTTAACCCCTTCACTGTTGATGCCATAATATTACGGCTTTGAAGCAAGTGTAAGTCCCGTAATACTATGCCAAAATTCTAGCAGCTTCAGATCTTGCGGGAGAAAGCTGATAGGTCTACATATGAGAGAATGGGTCTGCATGGTCAGTGTGTGCAGTATAAAAAAAATCCTGCAATATCTTTTGCCCTTTCACAGCACACTTTGTTTATTAAAGTTCCTAATTTATTAGCTCCAGAATGTTATTTAATACTATATTGTAAGTTTTTTTTTTTTTTTTTTAACAAGTCGGCCGTCTCCCACCGAGGCAGGATGACCCAAAAAGAAAGAAAATCCCCAAAAAGAAAATACTTTCATCATCATTCAACTCTTTCACCTCACTCACACATAATCACTGTTTTTGCAGAGGTGCTCAGAACACAACAGCTTAGAAGTATATACGTATAAAGATACACAACATATCCCTCCAAACTGCTAATATCCCAAACCCCTCCTTCAGAGTGCAGGCATTGTACTTCCCATTTCCAGGACTCAAGTCCGGCTATATAAAAATAACTGGTTTCCCTGAATGCCTTCACTAAATATTACCCTGCTCACACTCTAACAGATCGTCAGGTCCCAAATACCATTCGTCTCCATTCACTCCTATCGAACATGCTCACGCACGCCTGCTGGAAGTCCAAACCCCTCGCTCACAAAACCTCCCTTACCCTTTCCTTTCAACCTTTTCGAGGACGACCCCTACCCCGCCTTCCTTCCCCTACGAATTTAAATGCTCTCCATGTCATTCTACTTTGATCCATTCTCTCTAAATGACCAAACCACCTCAACAACCCCTCTTCAGCCCTCTGGCTAATACTTTTATTAACTCCACACCTTCTCCTAATTTCCACACTCCGAATTTTCTGCATAATATTTACACCACACATTGCCCTTAGACAGGACATCTCCACTGCCTCCAACCGCCTCCTCGCTGCTGCATTCACAACCCAAGCTTCACACCCATATAAGAGTGCTGGTACTGCTATACTTTCATACATTCCCTTCTTTGCCTCCAAAGATAACTTTTTTGTCTCCACATATACCTCACTGCACCACTCACTTTTTCTCCCTCAATTCTATGATTAACCTCATCCTTCATAAATCCATCCGCTGACACGTCAACTCCCAAGTATCTGAAAGCATTCACTTCTTCCATTCTCCTCCCCAATTTGATATCCAATTTTTCTTTATCTAAATCATTTGATACCCTCATCACCTTACTCTTTTCTATGTTCACTTTCAACTTTCTACCTTTACACACACTCCCAAAGTCGTCCACTAACCTTTGCAATTTTTCTTTAGAATCTCCCATAAGCACAGTATCATCAGCAAAAGCCAACTGTGTCAATTCCCATTTTGTATTTGATTCCCCATAATTTAATCCCACCCCTCTCCCGAACACCTTAGCATTTACTTCTTTTACAACCCCATCTATAAATATATTAAACAACCATGGTGACATTACACATCCCTGTCTAAGACCTACTTTTACCGGGAGGTAGTCTCCCTGTCTTCTACACACCCTAACCTGAGCCTCACTATCCTCATAAAAACTCTTTACAGCGTTTAGTAACTTACCACCTATTTCATATACTTGCAACATCTGCCACATTGCTCCCCTATCCACTCTGTCATATCTTTCTTTCTTTCTTTCAACACACCGGCCGTATCCCACCGAGGCGGGGTGGCCCAAAAGGAAAAACGAAAGTTTCTCCTTTTACATTTAGTAATATATACAGGAGAAGAGGTTACTAGCCCCTTGCTCCCGGCATTTTAGTTGCCTCCTACAACACGCATGGCTTACGGAGGAAGAATTCTGTTCCACTTCCCCATGGAGGTAAGAGAAAATAAAGAACAAGAACTAGTAAGAAAATATTAGAAAACCCAGAGGGGTGTGTATATATATGCTTGTACATGTATGTGTAGTGTGACCTAAGTGTAAGTAGAAGTAGCAAGACATACCTGAAATCGTGCATATTTATGAGACAGAAAAAAAGGACACCAGCAATCCTACCATCACTTGGCAGGACGGTAGTACCTCCCTGGGCGGTTGCTGTCTACCAACCTACTACCTAGGACTCTGTCATATGCCTTTTCTAAATCCATAAATGCAATAAAAACTTCCCTAACTTTATCTAAATACTGTTCTCATATATACTTCAATGTAAACACTTGATCTACACATCCCCTACCCACTCTAGACCTCCTTGCTCATCTGCAATCCTACATTCTGTCTTACCTCTAATTCTTTCAATAATAACCCTACCATACACTTTTCCTGGTATACTCAGTAAACTTATTCCTCTTAATTTTTGCAATCTCTTTTGTCCCCCTTCCGTTTATATAAAGGGACTACGCATGCTCTCTGCCAATCCCTAGGTACCTTTCCCTCTTTCATACATTTATTAAACAAAAATACCAACCACTCCAACACTATATCCCCCCCTGCTTTTAACATTTCTGTCATGATCCCGTCGGTTCCAGCTGCTTTACCCCTTTTCATTCTACGTAATGCCTCACGCACCTCCCCCACATTCATATCCTGTTCTTCTTCACTTCTAAAAGATGGTATACCTCCCTGGCCAGTGCATGAAATTACTGCCTCCCTTTCTTCGTCGACATTTAAAAGTTCCTCAAAATATTCCCTCCATCTCCCCTACTCTGTTTTTAACTGACAAATCCATTCATTCCCTAGGCTTTCTGAACTTGTTGAACTCACTCCAAAATTTTTTCTTATTTTCATTAAAATTCCTTGACAGTGCCTCTCCCACTCTATCATCTCCTCTCCTTTTGCACTCTCTCACCGCTCTCTTCACCTTTCTTTTACTCTCCACATACTCTGCTTTGTAAAAACCTCTCATAAGCTATCCTTTTCTCTTTCTTCACACCCTTTACTTCATCATTCCACCAATCACTCCTCTTTCCTCCTGCACCCACCGTCCTATAACCACAAACTTCTGCCCCACATTCTAATACTGCATTTTTAAAACTATTCCAACCCTCTTCAATGCCCCCCCCCCCCACTACTCATATTTGCACTAGTCCACCTTTCTGCCAATATTTGCTTATATCTCACCCGAACTTCCTCCTCCCTTAGTTTATCTTTATATGTGTATGCTTCTAAACTGTTGTATTCTGAGCACCTCTGCAAAAACAGTGATAATGTGTGAGTGTGGTGAAAGTGTTGAATGATGATGAAAGTATTTTCTTTTTGGGGATTTTCTTTCTTTTTTGGGTCACCCTGCCTCGGTGGGAGACAGCCGACTTGTTGAAAAAAAAAAAAAAATCTCCCTCTTACTTGTTGCCATTTTCCTCTTTTTCCATCTACCTCTTACTCTAACTGTATATTGTAAGTATTTATAATTTTTATTCATCTTCTTCTTTCAACACACCGGCCGTATCCCACCGAGGCGGGGTGGCGCAAAAGGAAAAACGAAAGTTTCTCCTTTTACATTTAGTAATATATACAGGAGAAGAGGTTACCAGCCCCTTGCTCCCGGCATTTTAGTCGCCTCTTACAACACGCATGGCTTACGGAAGAAGAATTCTGTTCCACTTCCCCATGGAGATAAGAGGAAATAAATAAGAACTAGAAGAAAACCCAGATGGGTGTGTATATATGTTTGTACATGTATTGGCAGTTTGGAGGGATATGTTGTGTATCTTTATACGTATATGCTTCTAAACTGTTGTATTCTGAGCACCTCTACAAAAACAGTGATAATGTGTGTGAGTGTGGTGAAAGTGTTGAATGATGATGAAAGTATTTTCTTTTTGGGGATTTTCTTTCTTTTTTTGGGTCACCCTGCCTCGGTGGGAGACGGCCGACTTGTTGAAAAAAAAAAAAACATGTATGTGTAGTGTGACCTAAGTGTAAGTAGAAGTAGCAAGACATATCTGAAATCTTGCATGTTTATGAGACAGAAAAAAGGACACCAGCAATCCTACCATCACGTAAAACAATTACAGGCTTCCGTTTTACACTCACTTGGCAGGACGGTAGCACCTCCCTGGGCGGTTGCTGTCTACCAACCTACTGCCTAACATAATTATTCATGTTTCATCTTATTTTTAAATTTCTGTCAGTGGAATTTACATATTTAAAATTTTATATTTTTTGCTAACATTCTTATTGTATCACTTCTTTTTATTACTTAAGCAGTGTGTTTTGAGTATCACTTTGGTTATTACATATGTCACTAGTTTAACCTTTTAACTGTGTTGCAGATGATGACTGTCCCACTGTAATTCCCACCTCCAGGACTCAAGTCTGGCTAACCAATTTCCCTGAATTCTTTTATAAATGTTACTTTGCTCACACTCCAGCATCACATAGTCATAAAAACCATTTTCCTCCACTTGCTCTTGTCTAACACGCTTGTTGGAAGTCCAAGCCCTTCGCACACAAGACTTTCTTTACCCCCTCCCTCCAACCTTTCCTAGGCGCACACAAGACTTTCTTTACCCCCTCCCTCCAACCTTTCCTAGGCTGACACCTACCCTGCCTTTCTTCCACTACAGATTTATTTGCCTTCCAAGTCATTCTGTTTTGTTCCTCTTTAAATGTCAGAACCACCTCAACAGCCTCTCCTCAGCCCTCTGGACAATACAGTGGACCTTCACCTAACGATATTAATCTGTTCCTGAGAGCTCAATGTTAGGCGAATTAATTTTTCCCATAAGAAATAATGGAAATCAAATTAATCTGTTCCTGAC